CATGAACAACTGCAACACCAGGGGGATTGCAGATACGTTGCCGGCCTTTAAAAAGGAGTACGCTCTTGTCTTGAAGGTTCCTAATTCGTATCGGCACGGAAAAATCTGTGTTGAAAAAATCTATTATAATTTTATTTGCGTTTAGTGCACATTTGCCAATATATTACGTTTAATTAAAGGTCAAATCCGTCTTTTCAAATGGATGCGAAATAAAGTACAAGTCCCTAAGAATAATAGCTTTTGATCAAATTCAAATGTTAAAAATGATTATTCTACAAAGGTTTTTAAGTGGTATATCACATAAAATGTAACTAATTTTTAAATTTAAGTTCGTAAAATCGCGGCTTAATTCTCGACCTTTGGGGTACTTTACTATGTCCCACATAGTATATTATTTATATTTTACAACACCTATTGTCACGGGGGAGACTGAGGCGTTTGACGTCCCGATGTCATAGTTAGCCTGGCTACCTTCAGATTTTGAATATTAATTTTTAGTCCGATATACGCAGAACTAGCTTACTGTATCTTGAAGTCTTGCAGTGGTATGCTTTAATATTATAAATTATACGATCCCAAGCAGATGGTAGCACCCATTCATCTTTTCTATTGAAATTAGGATGTTTTTTTTTAATTTCAATAGCCGCGCGAATCATCCTTGATAGAAATCGGTGTTCTTTGACGAGGATTTGTGGTCTATAAAATGTGGTGTAATGGCGGGGACGAACTTGAGCATGTTCACAGACTGCAGACTTCCCGGAGCATCGGTGCTTCTTCACATCAGCTATATGCACGTGGGTTTCTATAGATCTCTTTGAATCTTTTTTTTTGTAAAAATAACCGGGTTAACTGTGACATCAGTACGACAAACACCTCAGCCACCCCCTCCCCCTTCCCCCCGTGATCATGGCTGCTGTAAAGCATGAATTAAAAAGTTAAAATAGAAAAATCATTACGGTACATCAATTTTTTTTATATTTTTCTATAAAGGTACAAAAGTGTGTGAAGTGGTGTTGATTTTGTGTCTGTGAATTTTAAAAGCTTTAGTATGTTATCTACTGGTGTCTTCTTCTTCTTTATTAGCCGCTAACAGTCAACAGCTGGACATGGGCGTCGTCCGTCGTAGGAAGAATATGCCTTAATAGCCACGTTTGGCTGGTGTATGCCATCTATCGGAGGCCATCAAGTCTTTACGACCTTATCTTTAGTCGCCTCTTACGAGACTCACAGGATGAAAGAGGTGATATAATTCTCTAATGCCCCCATAACACTACGTGTATATCAAAATATGTTTGTTGAAGTTAAGTCAATAAAAGTCAGAACTCGCAGTAGCGTGCTTTTATATTTTACTTCTGTTTGTTAATTCTGAATGTTTATTCAGGTTGGGATTATTCCCCAGTACTCGTGTCGTAAACACTAAGTACTATATGTATATAATATGTATTCGACACTAATGTAATTGTTTTGGGAATTATAAATTCAGTCACAGATCTCTTTTCGTAGAAAGGGTTTGCCGTTAGTTGTTTTGAATTTAATTGATTGGTAATCGTATTATCAGATTTCGAGCCTTTGGCGACTTTACTTTACTCTCTAAATGAAATGGGGTGATGATACACCACACAACAAGATCATGGTTTATTCACAATTTATTTTTTTAGTTCTCTGAAGTCGGCTTTCACAAGCTGTTCCGAAAAATTTAATTTAATGCTTGGTGATCTTATTTTGTACGTAAAATGAACGAAGACCAAGCCCAAGACCGCCTAATTTTAACAAGACCAAGACCAAGACTGACCGTGCGTAGCGTCTTGCAGTAAGGACTGAGTGTCGTTTCAGGAAGTTTAGGGGTTCGGGTATACGCTTGGAACTCTATGAGACTTTTATTACTACTTTATACTATTATGAGAGAAAATTGGAAAATTGGATTTATGCGCATTACGAACAATAGCGTAAATACATACATAGCGAATGAAAACATCAATTCAAAGAAAAAAGAGTGCATCCCTAGTTTTGACCATCGGCACTTTGATAGTGTGCGGCGTCTTGTAGTCGGCATCATCAAAGTTCGCATGCTGACCTGGAAAAGAAATTTTGCAGCTATTCGGAAGTACAAGGTAGAGATACACGCGCCGCGCCGGTGGCTTCTATTGATATCGCATACAATCCTAGCCGCCGCGCCACACTCACAACATTTGACACTGTTTGATTGCCGCCACAGAATACATGTTCCAAAGAATAAAATAAGTTTCCGGGTGCTCAGAATACATTATGCTGATCTCGCAAGGAATATTGTAATTAGATAATGTTAAGATATCTACCTATTTATCATAATAATTTATTCTAGTAAGCAATTATTATAATATTAACTATATGGGTTTATTATAATTACTTACTATTATTATTATTATTACCTAATAGATAAATATGTTCAATAAGTTAACTGCAAATCTCGATTTTTGGAAGTGTGTGTTTTTAAAACAAAAAGTGTTCGAATATGTCGTCACCCGTTTGTTAAATATTGTAGACACTTTTAACACACTTGAAACGTGTAAAAAATTTCTAGACTGCTAATCGAATAATATGAAGAGCGTGCATATAAAATAAAAAGCGTGCAATAAGATCTATGAACTGCTTAGGAGCCCAAGTATCTCTGAGAGAACTGTTTAAAGAAATTGATATCCTGACTATTGCATTACAATATATTTTTGCAAATATCATTTATGTACAACAAAGCATTCAAATTCATTAAAGAATAATGATTTGCACAATTTCAATAGTACAAGTAGAAATAAAAATAAAATTACATCACCTGCTTCCCGTTACACAAAGTATACAATTGGTTCTTTAGTAGCGGTATAAGCTTTTATTACCAGATTCCAAAAGAAATGTTAGATCTTTCACCTTTTCAATTTAAGTCGCACATTGAAGCTTGTTTAGCCAAAAAAGCGTATTATTCTGTAAATGATTATCTTAATGACAAAAATGTTTGGAACTGACCTCTGGTACTACACAGGACTAACTAGAAATTTCTATACCGATTTGGTATGAATCTATCGGGACCTTGTTGTAATAGCGTATACATTGCCCCAAGCAGTGGAGTAGCGTGCCTTAGGGAGATTTTTCACAAAAGGAACAAAAATTCTCGCATTGAATTAAAATAATTATATATTGATTATAAGTTATTACTTGCAATTAATGCTCCTAGGAACTAAGCTAGCCAAACAATTCAAACCAACATGCTGTCCCATAGAATTTTGTTTACATACGTTCGGGGCCTCTGTAGCCCGGGGGCCCCGTATCATTGATACGGCTGAAACGGTGGTAGCTACGCCCCTGGCCCCAAGAATGAATTACTGACTCTGTGGAGTCGAGAAACTGGTATCACTAGCTTGTGTTTGTTCCTAGTGCTTACAGAATGTATATCACTTGTTAGTGTTAGTAAAGAGCGGAATTTTGCCTCCCCCCCCCCCCCACAGAATACGCGGGGCAGCCTGAGGACCCACGCTCAGGAAGTAGAGGGTAGCTTGACCGTGGATGCTCTGTAAGGGATTCTCCATTACCAGTGGTGCTGGTACCCTCCTAGGGTATTCCTTTCTTTTTAAATTCCGTTACTATGTCATGGGGGGGGGGGGGGGCTCCGCCCCGGTTCGAGCCGGCCCATCCAAGCTGTAGCGTGGCTCTACCACTGTTAAATTTGAAATGAAAATGTTAAACAGAAACACTTCAGGCTTAACGAAGCATCTAATATATTTCCACAAAAAGGAATCACAAATATTTCTTCCTGAAAAACCAAAATTAAGTGGAGACATCACAAGCTTTTTAATAACCGGCGGAAAAAGTTGACAGGTAAGGAGAAATATACTTATCACACAATTACATTATACTATATTATGTAACTAGCGGCCGCCTGCGACTTCGTTCGCATACAATGTCTGATTTCCTATGAGAATATGAAATTTTCCCACTGCAAAAGGCCTACCTAAGTATATAGAGGTTATATAGGAAAATCTTAACTATGCAAATACTTATTATTTAAAACTAATAACCTAAATGTCGATCTTCATATCTATACTTTAAACCTTTTTACCCTACCCTACTAAAAACTAACCTAACCTTTTTACCCTAATTTCACCCCCTTAGGGTTAGGATTTCGTAAAACGGCTTATTCAGGATTTTATTATTGAAAACTTATAACTTTAATGTCGATTTTAGTGTCTATAACTTCAAAAACGTAGAACTTTCATGTAACCTTCTAACTCAATTTCACCTTATTTGGGTTGAATTTTCGTAAAATTGCTTATAGAGGTTATTATTACTTAAAACTAATAACCTGAATGTTGATTTTCAAGTCTCTGTCTTCAAAAACATAGGACTTTCATACAAATTTTCATCCCACAATTCACCCCCGTTTATGTGATTTTTTTGTAAAATTGCTTATACGAGTACAAGTTATTATTATTTAGAATTTATAATTTAAATGCCGAATTTCATGTCTCTAACTTCAAAAACGTAGGACTTTCATACAAACTTCAAACTCCCTTAGGGGTGTATTTTCTCAAAACCGTTTCTTAGCTGACCTCTACGCCATAAAAGAAACCTACCTTCCAAACTTCAAGTTAGATGTTTTATAGTTCCAGAGATATCGTGATAGTCAGCCAGTGAGTAGTATTTCGCTTTTATACATATATATATTATAGTATTAAATTTATGCCTTTATAATTCACCCATATTTTCATTTGTTTTTGTAATCGGCGAGACACATGACTTACAACAACATCATGACAGCTACAGTTGATTGTATGGTGAAAAAATATCTTCTCTTCTCATTTTTCGATGACGAAACTACACAAGTACATATATTTTCGATCGATTTGCCCAAATATGGTCTTTTCTAAAAGGTCCACACTTATAAGAAATGTCAAAGAGCGATTTGAACATCTTCAAATGAATCTTAAGAAACGACTACAACAATTTTCATCTAAAGTGTCATTTACCATCGATCGATGGACGTCAATTACTACGGGTTCACTATTCATTATGTAGACAAAGAATGGAAGTATCGATGTGTAGTCCTTGATTTTATACCATCACGCGGTCGATATAATGGGGAAGATATTGCAACGATTTTCCACGAATGTCTATTGGAATATGACATAATTGATAAAATACAGGGTATCACGGTCGACAACGCAATTGCAAATACCAAATTTATGTATGAATTGGATAAACTGCTGCCACACTTTGATTCGGACAATCAACATTTCCAGTGCCTTGGTCACATTTTGGACCTTGATGTACAAGGTTTATTAAAGACCTTAGCATTATACAGTGAAACTGATAATAACGGACAAGAACAGCAGTATGAAGACTATGAAGACGAAACTGAGGAAGATGAAGAATATGCGCCAAATCTTGCTGACTCACCTAAAATTTATAACAAAATTACGCGGTATTTCCAGTAAAAAAAAAAAGAAGTGAGATATTAAAGAGGAAGTTTCAGTCTGCTTGTGAAGAAACGGGCGTGCCATCAAATCGGAATCCCATACTGTCCAACAAGATGAAATTCCACACATGATATGATTGCATTTGGTTTAAAAGTGAGAACTGGCATTAACATATTGTGCACTTTTGTCACCGAATTGAACGATTTTCAAATCATAGATAGTGAATGGTATACTCGAAAAAATACATAAGTTTGTAATAAACTTTAAACTTTTATGAACGAAATTTGGTGGAGAAAAATACATTATCACTAGTCATTGTATCATTCCATCTCTTACTCGATAAAATTGAATCTATGGTTAAACAATTAGGTAAGAAACCCAATCGATCCGAAGCGGATGAAACGCTCATTCTGGGTTTCCAAGCAGATCGAGATAAAATACTTGAACATTATAAGAAGAGCAACTGGATTTATTATACCTCTTTAATTTTAGACCCAAGGTATAAGGTTCAGACTTTTGAAATTACATTATGGGAGAAGCGAATTAAAACAGAGAGCCTGCGTAAATTTAATGAACTTTATAAAGAATATAAAAGTCTACATTCAGTGAATAAATCTCTAGAATCACCAAGAAATGAAAAGAAAGTATGTGAATATAATGAAGACGAGGACGTAATAGACTTTAAGAACGTGTAATCATGTCCCTTGACGTCAGCTGGATCTGGATCTTGTCTTCAATTCTTGGTTTAGTTATTGACAAGTTGGAGGAGTACCTAAGTAAAGCCAGAGCCGCCAGCTCGGAAGACATTTTAGAGTGGTGGAGGACGCATGAGACAGAATATCTGACTTTATCGAAGATGGTCCGTGATTGTCTTTCAATACCTGCAACTTCAGTACCTGCTGAGAAATTATTTTCTAAAGCGTCGTTAGTAATTAGAAAACATAGAAATAGGTTAAGTGATGAGTCAGCCATATGGTTACTTTTTATTCATTCTTGCTGAAAAGAATTATTATAAAGTAACAGTAATGTCAAAGCTATTGTGTACTGTTATGTAATTTAATTTGTATTGTATTTTATTTTTTATTTAAATAAATGGTAAATTCTATAAATATTGTATAACTCTTTTATTCCATTTCCTATAAGGTCTATCATTCTCTTTCTAGACAGATAATGTTCTTTAAAATACAGTCAAGTTAATGTCCTTAATTTGTTTTTTATTAATATGTTTTATCCGTAAGCTTATTAAATGTAAACGTTTATTAAGAAACAGACTGACTCCCGTGGCCGTAGGACACGGTAGATAGCTCAGTTGGTTAAAGCATCGGCACGGATCGCTTAAGTCGTGGGTTCAAACCCCACCCGGTGTTAGTTAATTTTTCGAATTTCACATTAAATATTTAGACATTTATTAATTTGGTTAGTTTTTACTATGGCCATGTTAATTCAAGCTCAAAATGTACCTACTCTGTTAAGTTGTTCAAAGATCTAAAGTAACGTTTAATGAATAGCAATAGGCTAATAAGTCATTGCGAGACTTGCAAGACTCTTGCTGCAAGACCAAGACGAAGACCAAGACTGGCAGCGCAATACCAAGACCAAGACCAAGGCCAGGTGTATAGGCGCAAGACCAAGACCAAGACTGGCTAAGTCTCGTCTTGTTCTTGCATTTGGGCAACACTAGTTCCAAGTGTGTTTCTTTTACTTGGTATTCTAAATTAAACGTATACTAGTTACTTTTGAACCGGATTGCTTATTTTTTATAGAAGCCAATAATGTCATCCAGACCGAATTTACATCACGGCGGCCAATCTCAACGGAGACTAGCCATCTACGAAGAAGAGGATTATTGTGCAAGTGCGTGCATAAGAACACGTACATATAATCTCTATTCCCTCATTCTTATGGCCCGGCACTTTATGACTGGAGAGCTATCAGGCTCAGGACCAACGGCTTTACTAATTTCCTAATTCAGGGCAGCTGCTATTGAGAATTTCTTGGCAAAAAACCTAATAAATTATTTTGCACCGACCCTTGATTCGAACCCAGATGCAGTTTAACGGCAGATATAGAAGAGGTTAGACCTAGTCCGATGGATTTATAGCCAGAAAAGGTGCTTTAAACCAAAATCAAGAAAATCAGTAAATAGCGTGAAGGAAAGCGTTGCGAGTTCGTATACTTAACGTAAGCGAAGAACGTACTCGTATACTTAACGTTCTTGTACTCTTGTATTACATTGAAGTGGAGAAGGCCGCTCAAAAGGAAAGCCGCACATGCCGATACGCCACATGCCCCACTGAACGATGAAAGTCAGACTCAGGCTTACTCAAGGAGCCCTGCTTTCCAAAAGGTCGACTAGAAGAAAACATATAAGAACTCCATATACCTAAGTGGTTCACAAATAATTCTTGTAAGTTATCTCTATTAATATAAAAGTAATAAGTATAATAACTATGATATTTACTATAAATTCAAAATGTTCCTTTTTTGCTTTTGTAATGGATTCGTACGGTTGTACTTTTGCCAATGTAACGTAATAGGAAATTATGCTTTAAAATATTATGTGCAAAAACTTCCACACAATATGTTGCATGCATCACATTGCCGAGTTTTTGGGAGATTTTGACGAAATTTAAGCTGATGATAACAATAATATCTCAAGTTCTTAAGGCGCCTAAGCGGACAAAATAACTTTAGGTTTAAATCAACATCGAAGCACTAGCTTCACCTTTTTTACTATTAGTTTACATGCGCAGTTATACACAAAATCGCAACACTTTTACGTATCAAAATCCACTTTAAACCATAAAACAGGAAGAAAAAGTCCACCAGAGGTCAAGTTCTCGATAAAACTCTAAAACGTTCTATGTTTTAAGCCTATTATTGAAAATAAATTTCAATTTTATTAAAATTTTCAGTGTTTTCTATAATAGGTATTGTTATTTGTTATAAAATATCTTATTTTTATTATATGGCGCGAATAACACTTTTTGTGGTGGTTAAAAAAATTTTGTTATTTGAAAAAATCAATAACACAATAAAGAGAATACTTTTAAAATATTATCACTAAACTACAAGCTACAAAAGATCGCTTACATGGGATTTTTGTTTGATCTAAGCGACTTTTATATCTTAAATCTACTAGTAAAAAGTCAATTTACATTGAAAATATTTTTTCTTCTGTTGATAGTAATACAGATACGTTTCATTTCTGTACAATCTTTAAAAGAAATTATTCCTGGATTCATTCATAATTTGTATTTAGTTTACTTTGTTCTTTGTTTAGAGCGATAACCGTTTAAACGGTCGTAAACGGAAACAGGCATGGCGTAGAATCTACTGTTCGAAAAATAGCTTATTGTATATTTTTAGATTCGGTCGTCAAGATAATATGTGGACATCGCAGTATATCGAAGATTGTATACTTTTTAAATAACCCACTTTTTTAATTTCTAATACATTTCTCAAATTACATTCTTCTAAAAAGTAGGAGGTTCTCGATTCGAATCTTTGTTAAATGTTTATAATTATATCTTCGTAAATAATGAACTAATTTCAACGTGTCTTTTTATTGTTAAATAGAACTAGATGACTTGATAAATTAAGCGCCTATTTAAAAAACAATAAGTGAACATAATGAGCTTCTTTAGATCTTTTTACTTATTTATATATTTTAACGAGGTTTAATTGTCTACTTTTAAAGTTGCAGCTACTACAAACGACCTCTCCACTCCACAGTAGGGATTTGTTGAAGCGAAGGCGTAGGTTTTGACTTTTAAAAAGTGCTTTGTTAAATCTACTTTTTAATAACAATATTTGACTTTGACTTCGATATAAATATAAAGAAAAAATTCCATCAATAAGGCTGGAAAAATAGAGGATGAAGTCTTTAATTTATAACTATTTGGACGAAATTCTAGTTGTTACCTTAAACTTTTAATATTCCTTGGACCACTCAAAAGCATAAAACAATTTAACTTTAAATAAAAAAGGTACAAACAGGCTACAAAACTACAAAAATAAAATAATTTTCCAAATAGGTAATAATAAAATAAAAATGCCTTGACTAGGAAATTTTATTCAGCCACTTATGATATTAGAAAGCCACTACTAGGTTATAAATTGTTTACTTTAGTAATTTCTTATGGGTTTGTTGTGAGGACATGCAGCCGATGTGTGCGATAACTAAAAATATATTAAATACCAAATTTAGACTAGGAAAAGTAAATAGGTAATTCTTTTTATGCCGATATACACGCATGTAAGGAGATTCCTGACCAAGTATATGCTTCTCGGAAATAAAATTAAAAAATTATATGAAAAAGTACTTGTATCTTAAACTGATATTACTTTGAATGATTATTTTGGAGAGAATGAGGATTGGAACATTATTAATCAATTTTTATATTTCATTTTAATGATAGTAATTGGTCCCATTAAAAAATACACTTATATTCAATGTGTATTATCTATCATGTACATTTTATAAAATAACATCTTAGTGTGTTGTAGACTCGGGCTTGTCATGCTCGCTTAAAGGCTCACGGCGGCTCTGATCATCCACTGCCACTGTCCACAGGTACTTTAAACTGGTCAAAGAGCTTAGAGGACGGTATGGCTGCCACATACGTCATACTTGTGAACAGGTCTGCTTGTGGGGAACTGGGGTCTGCTCGAATTTGGTAACACTTAGCTGTAATATAGCTGTAAACATGTTTTATAAGTAATGAAATTACACAAAAACATTTATTACACAATGTTTTTACCTAAGGGTCTATTATTTTTCTAGGTATTGTCATTAACCTTAAAAAAGTATAAGAAAGAGATTGTTCGCCGTTTCCTCTCTAGAAGAGGCACTTTACTTTGAAACGGTAGTAGATAAAAAATATGTTACCGTTTGAGAATGGTTTTTTTTAATTTCTTACGTTGGAAAATAAATATTTTTTTTAATTTCATTTCATCCCTTCTGACGTGGGGCTTTAATATATTGGTACACTATATCTTAGCACCGACTTCAGAAG